ATATACCTGTCTTATTGTGTAAATTGGAACAAATATTCCCACCAAGCTTCTTTGATTCAATGGAACATCTTCCAATTCATCTACCTTATGAGGCAAAGGTTGGTGGTCAAGTTCAATATCGTTGGATGTATCCTTTTGAGAGGTATCTTTACACTAACTACTCACCCTCCATTTCTAAAGTATTTTATATGTTCTTTAAAGACTCCATTTTTGTATTCTTTTTTAGATTCTTACACTCCTTAAAAAAGAAAGTGAAGAATAAAGCTAGGGTGGAGGGCTCTATTTGTGAAGCTTACTTGGTGGAAGAAACATCTACATTTGCCTCATTTTATTATCCCGATCATGTTGAAACAAGAAGGACTAGGATTCCTAGAAATGTTCATGTAGGTGAAGGTTCTTCATTCCCTCCTCCTATTTCAATTTTCAACTACCCAGGAAGACCAATTGGAAAATCTCAAACATATTTTCTGGACCAAAGAGACTATGATGCTGCCGAATTATATGTTCTTCAAAATTGTGAAGAGGTTCAACCATATTTTGAGTAAGATGTTTTCACTCCTCTCACATCAAAATTACTCATGTTACTTTGTGTGGTTTGAGTAATTTGTTACGTGTTTGCAGTATTTATATTGAATATTTAAGACAGCTAAATCCTAGTATTTCTGGTGCCCAAATTGACCAAGACATTTCATCCCATTTTCCTAAATGGTTTAAAAAATATGTAAGTTTTTGACTTATATGTCTTACAAATATTTATTCTGACTTACATAGTCTAATGTGTAAAGGACTTTGTTGTCTTTAGGTTCTAAATCCAGAAAATAATATTGAAGATCCATTATTGGTTAATTTGGCATGGGGTCCCAAGAGAAAAGTTGAATCATGGCCTATGTATGTTATCAATGAATACAAATTCCACACTATTGTTTGGAGTGAAGGCATGAATTCATGTAACTATGGTGTTTATGTACGAGGAACCAATGGTCAATTAGAGTCAGATTTTTATGGATTATTGTCTAATATTATTCAATTAGAGTATACTGGTTTGCCATTGATGAACTTAGTTCTCTTTCAGTGTGAATGGTTTGACAATACTCTTAATATAGGAACCAAAGTAGATAATAAGTATGAAATCGTGCAAGTAAAGCAATCACGAAGATATAATAAAGCATATGATCCTTTCATATTTGCACAACAAGCAGAACAAGTTTATTACACAAGTTATCCGGAGGGACACCGAGGTTGGTTGGGTGTAATAAAGACAAAATCTCGTAGTAGAATCATTGATAATATAGTCGATCAAGTTGAGCATGAGACTCCATACCAAGATGATGAGCTTGTAGGACTTGAAGTAGTGCTTCGTGTTGATCCTAACTTCATTGATGATTCCCTTACTGATGTTAATGGTGGGGGAGAAGAAATAGATATACAATTACTAAATGAAAGAAATATAATGAAGATGAGGATGAATATATTTCAAGTGAGGATGAGACTGAGAGTGATTTTGATGATACAGATACTTTGGTAATTCATGCATTAAAATTATTTTTACAATTGTTAAATTTGATTGTACACCTTTATTTAATATTGCATATATATACATATATATATTGATATGATTATGATTTAATTATTTGCAAGTGAATGAGTGGTAAGCTAACCGACACGTTTGGGTGTAGAAAACACAATCAGGTAATTCATTGTTTCAATTGTTTAATTTTATGCATGTTACATATGTAATAAGATCCGCTTGTAGATGCCACAAAGGGGTAGAAGTGGTGGTCGTAGACCACCTCATCGTGGTGGTCGAGGTGTACTTGTTGATGATAGAGGTTCACCCAAGCACTAACTCTCCTAGTTCTGTTCGACCAAGATCCATGGAGTCTACTAATCCTATGTTTGTAGAACACACACCTCCCTCAACTCAGCGAGAATCTCCTGTAGCTATAGTAGGAGAAACAATTCCTACTACCTTCTCTACTGAGGCGACATTTGGTCAACCTACACAGGTACCTGGTCGAGTCGCAACCGAGGTTGAGTCCGGAAATATGGTTGATCAAAGGCCATGGTTACAAGCGAGACAAAGGAGAGTAAGTATGTTTTAATTTAATTATAATTCTTTAATATGAAATTTCTTAATAATATCAATCCCACAATATGTTTCAACACAGGTTTATACCAACGAAATGGTCCTCCTGCTATAATCTCTAGAATCATCAAACAAAAATTTGATGAACCAAGTCCCACTTGGAGAAAGGTTTCACTTGAGCTTCGAGATAGATGGTTTGGAGAGTTCAAGGTAATTTGAATTATAGTTACATTAAACAATGTCATTTCATTCTTATAAATTAAATGTTTGTTGTGTATTTTATTTATGCAGAAAGAGTATATATGGGATGTGGAACAAGAGCAAGCCATAAGATCTGTTTTTGATAAGAAAGGTTCTTGAATTTTAAAAAACTCAATGAACAAAGTTAGGAATGGTAAGGATACGGGAATCTGGATACCGCCAGCTGTTCGAGCATCTTTGGACTTACATTGGAGTTCTCCATATTTCCAAAACAAGAGTGCCATTGCCAAGGCTAATCGAGCTGTTGATAAGGGTGCCTCGACTTATCGTGGGGGTTCCATATCTACTGCAGCTCACTTTGAGAAGATGGTAAGTTTATTATATTTTTATATAAGTAATTTAATACAATATATTACACTTTAGGTAATGAATTTTGTCTCATTTTAATGTGTAGACTACGGAGTTTCAACGGAACCAACCGTTTGGGAGGTTGTTGAGAGGACAAAGAAATTAAAGACTGGACAATGGGTCAATGAAAAAACTCGTTATCTTGCTGTATGTTTAACATCTAAGTTATAGTTTATTATTCAATATATGTTTTCTTCATAATAATTATATTTCACTTCATTTTTAGGAACAATATATGCAGCATGCAGAGAAGAAGTCCATCAACATAACTTGCGTGAAGACTCATCTTCACAAGAGTCTCCTATTGTCTCTGTTGATGATAATCAAATATACATTTCAGTTGTTGGAGGTGAAAATAAAAAAGGAAATGTGTATGGACTTGGTACATTGAGCAAAACGTTCACTACTACATCAGGTTCTCAATCTTCTATTACTCAAACTCCAGTACTTCATCAAATTGAACAAATGCGTGAGACTATTGAAAAGTTAAATGCTGAATTGGTGGCAAAACATAATAAGGAGAAGACACTTGAAGAAGAGATGCAGGAGTTGAGGAACAACCAACGCCAACAAGATGAGCAGATGAAGCTTATTTTACAACATATTCAAATAAATAGTCATCCTACTACAAGTCAACATGACACTGATAATATACCAGATGACTAATTTTCAATTTTATGATATTAAGACTTTGAATCTTGATTAGTTGTTAAGTTCTTAAGTTTCATTTGTGTTATGTTTGGATGAATTAAGCAGGTACAAATTTTATGATTTGAATAATTTGACTTTAGTTCTTAAGTTTTCATTTGTGTTATGTTTGGATGAATTAAGCAAGTACAAATTTTATGATTTGAATAATTTGACTTTAGTTCTTAACTTTTCATTTGTGTTATGTTTGGATGAATTAAGCAGGTACAAATTTTGTCAAATTGGATATACAAAATTTTAAACGAAAATTTTCAGATTTGGTTAGATTAGCGACCGAATTTTTGGTCGCTACAAATTTATTATAATATACAATTCAAATTTAGCGACCGATTTAAATTATTAGTTAAATAATTCAATTAATATATTAGCGATCGATTATATCCGTCGCTATTATTGTCTCCAATTTAGCTGACCGATTTAGCGATCGATTTTAATTTTTATTTAAATAATTATATTAATATATTAGCGACCGAATATATCGGTCGCTATTTTTTAAAACTTTACCATGGATTTAGCGACCGATTTATTATATTAATTTCGGTCGCTATTTTGGTCTTCAATGAATAAGTGACCAAATTATTTAGCGACCACTTTAGCGACCACCTCATCGGTCGCTATTTAGCGATCGAAATGTAAATCGGTTGCTAACAAATTAGCGACTTGCCCTTTTGCGACCAACAATTTCGGTCGCTAATTTCGGTCGCTAACAAAATAGTGATCAAATTTTGGCCATTAGCGACCGATTTTTTCCTAATAGCGTTTTTCTTGTAGTGAGTGCTACCATTCCCAATAGCCTAGTTACCTTCATTAAAAACATTATTCCATGTCTTGAACGAAAAATTATGGATACAATTTGTTGCCAGTTTCCAGCAACGGTTTTTAATTATTGCATATTAAAAAAGAAATATATAAAACTTATTAAACAAAGTAATAAAACTCAAATTATTTACACAAGATAAAAAAATAAGATATCTCTCAATGATTCCAATATAAATTTAACTAAAAGGAAAACGATAACATCTAAATTTAACTTCTTTTACATCAGCAGAATCTAGGGTACGATGGAGTTATTGACACAAAACCAAAGTGTAGACTTTATAGCTTAAACACCGCCATTGAAGACACACGGATAACGCCGGCTATGACAAATATAATACGAATTTACAATGATTCAAACATGAATTGATTCGCATATTTTGTAGAATGATGCAGTCATAGGTTTGACTAAATAAAATCCTTTCCACCAAGCTTCCTGCTTCATAGTCATTCTCATTTGTCACAAACAACTTGATTAATCTGTCCCACAACCACAATAATTTCCTCGATACATACGACAATAAATTAATTGTATTCATTTCCACCACCACCAAACAATTGCACACAACAAGCTCGAAATTTCCCAGCTAAAGCACAAAATTGTGGCCCTTATATATGATGAGGTGTCTCTCTTCACCTATAGCCATAACATGCTTACAAATTCATGTACAGAGCAACCAAAGTCAGCACCCAAGAGACCATGGAAGAAAAGTATCATATGCAATAATTGAAAGGTGAATTAACCATTTTCTTTGAGATAGCTTGAAGAGAATTGAAGAAAATGGCGAGGTTGAGGGTGTTGTCTGCGCTTGACACAGCCAGGACGCAATACTATCACTTCAAAGCCATCATCATTGCAGGGATGGGACTCTTCACCGATGCATATGACCTTTTCTCAATCACTCTCATCATCAAGATGATCGGAAGGATATATTACAGCGACAAAGAGAAAAAGACTCCGCCGGCGGTGGGCTCCGCCCTGGTCGCCGTCGCGCTGATGGGAACCGCCGTCGGCCAGCTCGTGTTCGGAAGGCTTGGCGACCTCAAGGGGCGGAGACGCGTGTACGGATTCGCCTTGTTGTTGATGGTCTTCAGCTCCGTGGCCTCTGGCTTCTCCATTTGCATAACCAAAACCTGCGTTTTAATCACTCTTGGCTTCTTCAGGTTTCAAAATCTTAACTTGACTCAATCCATACATACAAAGCTTTTCCATTCATAACCTTGGTCTCTCAACATCGTTCATTAGGTTGTTCTTTCTACATTAAATTCATATAATCCATATAATATCAAAGAGAATTTGTTTCTTTTACATTAAAAATGAACTTTTATAATGATGTAGGTGTCGATGTAAAGAATATTACTTCTACATTAACTATGTCTAATTTCAAAATATTAGTAACTTGTTAAATTGATCCCATCTTCATACAATCGATTGTCTGAATTCATATAAATTGATGTTACTTGGGTAAATAGGCTGATATGAAATTATTTCAATTTAATAAACAATTTTGAGATTGAATTTCAATATATGTTAAATACTAGGTCATGCATGTATAGTAATTCTATATGGATGATGATTTTTTTTTTAATCATGTTTTCATTGATAAATAATAGTAATTAAAAAATTAAAGTGTTGGATTTGAGTTTGTGATGGGAATGGATTACGTTTAGGTTTATGTTAGGGCTGGGGATTGGTGGAGACTACCCTCTGTCTTCAACGATAATGTCGGAGTTTGCGAACAAAAGGACACGAGGGTCGTTCATAGCGGCGGTGTTTTCGATGCAAGGATTCGGCATATTGGCGAGCTCCACCGTGACGATAGTGGTGTGCTCCATATTCCGTGTGGCGTCGAAGTCGTCGGAGGCTGACGTTGCATGGAGGTTGATTCTGATGCTGGGTTCAGTTCCGGCAGCCATGACTTACTACTGGCGTATGATGATGCCCGAAACTGCCAGGTACCTACCTGCCTCATTGACTTTTCCACTTTTAAATAATAATAATAAAAAATTATAATATTATTATAGTTTTTTTCTTGTGTCCAATAAATATACAAAAATAGATGCGGTCTCTGTCGATGTAATCAATGCTCATTTCGGTGAAGGACCATTCGAACGAAATTTGACAAAGACATCCTCATGATCAACGTAGTTGAATTTCTTTCACAACAAACGTGTAAATAAGAACAAAAAAACATGAATTGAGTGGCGTGAAATAAATAGAGATAAAAGAAAATTAATTATAAAAATTTAAGAAAAGAATTGTTTTAATCAAGGGAAAAAATAAAGTGGAAAACAACTTGTGTCTTCCTATTCTTATTCACGTGTACGTGTTCATGTCGTTGAAATTTAAACATTTATCAAAACTTGATTACGTGCCGCAAGTACGTGCAACAATGAATATTTCCTTAATTTCTTATTTTTCGATATAGATGAATATTTTGGGTGTCTATAAGACATATTCTTTATAATAAACACACAAGATTATCGACCATTATTATAATAACCGTAGTTTGAAAAATATATTGAGAGGGATATGTAATGAACAGGTACACAGCGTTGGTGGAGCAAAATGTGATGCAAGCAGCGAAGGACATGCAGAAAGTTCTTGATGTAACGCTGAGCATGATTGCTGAGGAACATCCTTTGCCACCGGTCCCACATCCGTATCCTCTGTTTTCGGGGGAATTCTTCCGTCGCCACGGTCGTGACCTTTTTGCATGTTCTTCAACATGGTTCCTGGTGGACATGGTGTTCTATAGCCAAGTTTTGTTCCAAAGTGAAATATACGACCGCTACCTGAAAAAGGGAAACGTGGACGTGTATGAAGAGGCTTTCAACGTGGCTTGGGTCCAAGCCGTTATTGCTGTGTGTTCCACCATTCCTGGTTACTTCTTCTCCGTGTACTTTATTGACAAATGGGGCAGGGTCAAAATCCAAATGATGGGTTTTTTCTTCATGGCAGTGATCTTTTTCATCATCGGGATTCCCTACTACTCTTTTTGGACAACTCCGGATCATGAAGGGAACAAAGGGTTCATGGTTTTGTATGGCCTTGCATTTTTCTTTGCCAACTTTGGCCCCAACACTACCACTTTCATAGTCCCGGCTGAGCTTTTCCCAGCTAGGTTTAGGTCAACCTGTCATGGCATTTCTGGGGCATTTGGCAAGGTTGGAGCAATCATTGGATCCGTGGGCTTTCTTTGGGCTTCTCACAACAAGGAGCAGGATGGGTACCGTAAGGGAATTGGGATGCAGGTGTGCCTTATCATACTAGGAGGGGTGTGCTTATTGGGAATGTTGATCACATACTTTTTCACCAGGGAAACCATGGGAAGGTCCTTGGAGGAGAATGAGGTTGATAGTGTGACCGATGAAGCTGAAGAACATGCCAATCTTTGATTCATGGATGGGTGTGTTATGGATTGTGGTAAATGGTAATCTTCTGTTGATAAGTTTTTCTTTATTACGTAAATTTTCTGTTGATAAGTAATATAATGTAACATTTTGAAGATATAAGTAGCAGTTTTTAATGGAAAATCACCTTGGTTTTTGGTGATTACATAACAGTTGACCTTATAGATGGAAAATTTGTGTATATCCAAAATCTAGGTTGTGTTATAAGTTTTGTTCTTTTTAATTACAAGGGACACAACTTTTATGTTTGACCTCTTCAGGACTTCTTCTTCTCGGATCGCATGTGAGGGTTTTCGAGTAATGGCGGTAGCGACCAAACCAGCTCCTTTCAAAGTACATTTTGACCATAGTGAATGATGAACACACCTAAATTGTATTCTATTTGTGATAGTTGACGTTTTTCTCCGATTGAATTCGAGTTTTTTTATATATATTTGAGGTTAATGTTCTATATCTCATCTTTTATGTTTAAATTGAATTTGTAATTATTTTCGGGGATCTCAATCATGGTATTGCATGAATGTCTCAACTGGATTGTTATTGAAATTGAACTGTTTTAGTTTGTGATTATCTGTTTATGCGTTTGAGTGAATTTATGGTTTATACAATGCATTCTTATGTTTTCACGATTTAGTTGTTTGAATCCCACATTTTTTGTTATTTGTATATATATATATTTTTATAAATATGAATTTGTGTTCAAATCTCTAGGAGTGATGAAAATTTATAACATATGTAAGTACGAATCGGAATTAGATGAATGCATGTTATATTAGTGAAGAGTACGAAAAGAAAGTTAAGGAATTTTTGAAATTTGTTCGCGAAAATGGAATATCTATCAAAGGAACATACTATTTTTCATGTGTTCGTTATTTAAATCAAATTCGTCATGAACTTGGGGATATACGTGATCTTTTGTTTGTCTATGATATTGTTATACAATATGAACATGACATGAAAAAATATTAGCATTCCAACTATATCAACAACAAATAATTTTGAAGAAGAAATGGATGATAATTTAGAGGATATAATAGTGATATTGCTGAAGAAAATTTTAAGAAAGCACATATGTATGATTCTTTGAAATTTGATTTTGATGAGCAACAATTGAATACAAAATGCAATTTTACAAGATTATCACCAACTTTAAGGTTGTTCAGTTTAAAATCAAGAAATGGATTAACTGATAAAGTTTTACTAAATTATTGGAGTTGTTAAAGGATATGCTTCCAGAAGATAACACATTACCTAATCGTAACTATGAGGCAAAAAAGATATTATGTCCAATGTGTTTAGAGTACAAGAAGATACATGATGCCCTAATGATTGCATATTGTACAAAAATGATTTTGCTACATTAAAGATGTGTTCGACATATGGTTTATTGCGGTTAAAAAACAAAGTTGATGGAAATAATGGTGAGGAAGAAATAGATGACCCCCTGTTAAGGTGTTATGGTATTTGTCAATAATACCTAGTTTTAAAAGATTATTTGCCATAAAAAAAGACGCAAGAAACTTGACATGACATGCAAATGGTAGAAAATGTGGCAATATTCTTCGACATCCAGATGATTTTTCACAATGGAAAATGATTGATGAAACATTTCTAGAATTTGGTGTGGAGTCAAGAAACTTGAGAATTAGATTAGCTATTCAAGTAGTAAACATAGTTCATGACCAGTTTTGTTGATTATTTACAAATTATCTCCTTGATTATGCATGAAGAGAAAATATATTATATTCTCTATGATGATTTCAGGACCTCGATAACCAAGAAATGACATAAATGTATATCTTAGTCTTTTGATTGATGATTTGAAGAAGTTGTGGGAAATAGGAGTGGAGGTCTTTGATGCATACCATGAAGTCAATTTTAGGTTACGTGTAATGTTATTTTGCATAATAAATAATTTCTCAACATATGGTAATTTGAGCGGTTATAGTGTGAAGGGGCACATTCTTGACTTGGCAAAGACGTTTGGTGATGTCACTCTCAGTACAGACCAATGTAATGTATATATTGTGTATTTTCTCTTCTTTTCTATTTTTATAATTATATGAATGTTTAATTAATTGCTATCATTTATTTAAGAGTTTATTCGTCGTGGTAAGCATAAGAAACAACCTATTATTGATGAGGATATCACAAAATCTGAGGATGATCCCATATATATGTTAACTATATTACCATGGTTGAGGAAGAGACTGTGTCAAATAAGTGGGAGACCAGAGTGTTTGGAATTGACAATTTCATGTTCTATTATACATTTCCTTGCCCAACGCATTAGAAATTATTGGGGGTAACTACATGTTAAACATTTCTATCATATAATTATGGACAATGTAAGTCATTTTCATTTATGTTTCTAAGATTATAATAATTATATTTGACTTATAACTCATTGTGTTAGGTACATTGACAAATTGAGTGTGGAGCAAGAAAAATATGAAGTATATGGATTTATTAAACCTCAATCCATCTAAAAATCTGGAAATACAAAGGTCGAAATCCAACAATATATGCAAATATGGGTGAGTGACTCACAAAAACATATATATTTGGCTCCATATATTGAAGGGTTGGAATTTAATTTGTATTTTTCATGTTAATTTTATAACTAATTTTTGTGTTATATAATGTAGGTCTTATTGACAGTTAATTGTAATCATGTTCGGGGATTACACTATGGTGTGATTTTGTTATTGCCCCAAAAACCGAATCAAGAAATGAAAAGTTTGTTACAAGGGTAACTTTATCCTTTTTTTATTAATTATGTTTTTAAAGTGTAAATATATATTGAATAATTTCTCACTTTATTTCAATTAGAACCATGTCTCGAAACTAATGTTCTAAGTGAAAGACCGGAACAAAGAATTTGCACTTTATTTATCCTAAGGTTAGAAACTTATTTATATAAATAAACACCATAATTATTATTTATATTTAAATTTTCAAAATAACATTATGTTTTGTTTCTCATTTCAATGTAAAAAGCAAATAAACTCCTTTGAATATGGCTACTATATCATGTATTGGATGAGAATCATAATTTGTATAGGTATAACTGATTTTTGGACGGAGGTAAATACTTTTAACATTTGTTAGGTTGATTTACTTTTATGTGTATTGCATGTTAATAAGAGTCAAATTAATGTTTCAAGTATTTTAAGATTCATCTCCACTACCGAACTTGATATTACACAAATTAGAGAGCAATAGACAAGGTTTTTCATTCAACAATTCTAGTACTTAGTTTGTAGGTTATTATTTGTATTATCTTTATTGTATTATGTAGTTTAGAATTTAGGTAGCTTAATTTTTGTAATAATTTACTCTTTGTTCTAGTTTAACTTTTATAGATGGTATTATATTGTATTATTGTATTTTTGAATTATTGTCTCAAGAAACTTAAATCTTTAGGCTGTCTGTCATTAAAATATGCTAGCAGGTTTTGGTTATAATACAAAACAAACTCAATATTAAAAGAAAGACGAAATTTACGTCGAATCAGGTCACAACAAACGTAAATTTATGTTGGACCTAGCCTCACCCGATATAAATTTAAGTTTGTTATGGCCTGATCCGACGTAAATTTCATCCTATTTTTTTTAATTTTTGAAACTCTTCTTACGTTTATTTCATGCTTTATTCTGTGTAAATTAATGTCGATTCTTAATATAATTAACGTAAATTTATGTCAACTATTATTACCGATATAAATTTACGTCTCTTATATTAATAGCAGAATTATTTTTAACATAAAAAAATAAAAATAATAGATATAAAAATCTTATTTTGCACTCTCCTATATTAACATAAGAATTATATCTGACATAAAAAATAAAAATAATAGATATAAAAATCTTATTTTGCACCGGTAAAAAAGTTTAATAATTATGTTTAAGTCTAATTTACTTTATTCAAAAAGTTGGCCTTGACCAAAATTTGATGTAGGCCTGTGGGGTCCCTCTCAGGTAGGCTATATATTACAATTCCTATCTGATAAAAAATTTAAAAAAAGATATGTTGCTAAAATTTAAAAAGTAGATGAATAATATAAAATATTTATAAATTATTATGAAAAATTCTATAATAATATTAAAAAATAAAAACCATATATCTAAAAAATAATGATGTAGATAAGTTCGATTAAATAAAGAAATAGAGTTTAAAATAGGAAGAGAGAAAAAATAGAAATTTTAATTTAATAGAAAACAACAAACTATCTATTTAAGGAATATTCAAGTAGTTTATATTAATTAGTAAAGGTGATTAACCCATTTCTTGTACTTTTTTTTCCAAAATTATTCAAATATATAGTTGTTTCTTTCTTCTTGCCAATACTTCACTACCCACAAAATTACAACTAACCAAAGTATACTTATTAATTATCCATAACGTACAAGTTAAACTTCTATTTGAAAACAAAATTTCAATATTTCAGTTATCATCAATAAGTAAATCACTTCCCCCTTTACCTATTTTTTCGTCTCTTACATACAAATATACCATTCACTCGTACGTGTCTATTAATAATATTATTTTACGTGGACAAAAAAAAAACTTGTCTTTACCTAAATTTAAGGGTCTTTTTATTAAGTTACTAGGAGAGGACTTAGTGTTAGAAAACTAATAATAATTATAATCCTGATTTTGATTCTAACGATCAAACATAAACATTATCTCATACTCATAAACATGCTATAAACTGAATGCGAAAATGTAACTGAATTAGCCATAATGATGATATTATTGTAGAACACTATTGATCTTATGGTCTTCCACCTGAAGAACACCTATATGGTCTTCCACCTGAAGAACACCTGTATTTCCCTCTGAATTTTCTCTCTTGATGGAGACAGAAAGAAAGGAATGAGACTGAGACTTACGTTCTGTGTGTGTGCTCCTAGAAGGGGACCATGACCCTTTAAATAACCAGAATTAGGTTAATTACTTAAGTTTTAGTATTTTCAATTTGA